GGGCAGAGGGCCTGGGCTATCTCACAAGATCAAATTGGCGGCCTGGGTAGTTTCGTAAATCGTTTGACCAGCTTATGAGAATAGAAGCCAAAGCTTTAACGAGGGCTGGTTGCGTGAATTGATTGGCTTTAAAAAGGCAACCTCACGGTCCAAAATGGCGGCGCATGGCACCGCTAGGGATCCCTGGAGAGGCCCGAAATTCCACAAAGAACCCAGGGGTCTTCCTGCCGAACCAGCTGGTTTCGTCACAAGGGGTGAGGTTATAAAGAGTGGCGATCCCCCTGTAAGCCGAAGACGATCCTGTTTGGTCTTCGTTGCCTTTAGCGGCAACCAAAATGGCGCCCGCAACTTTTTGGCCGTTCAAAACGGCCTTCCGAACGCTGCAGGGCAATTTGAGGCTTTTATGAGGGCTGAGAGCTCGGCAGCGCAGGATGCTGCTCTGGGAATTTAATGATGAGTGGATTCCTCTGTGAAGAGAATGGCTCCGTTCGTCTTCATTGCCTTCAGTGGCAACCAAAATGGTGCCAGCGAGTCTCTGGCCATTGAAAAGGCCGTCTGAGCCTTCGTGGGACCTGATAGAGCTTGTATAAACAAAGGCTCTGCAGTGTGGAGAGCTTCGCAATGAGGTATGAGGAGGGGTGAAAGTTGAATAGAACCCTTTTCCCCAGATCCCTGGGGAAGGAATATAAAACGGGCACACACACCCAGTCCCAGGCCTCAGATCAGCCGATCTGAGGCAGCTCTGATCCCAAGGTAAGGGCAAGGGAATGGGAGAAATCTTTAAAATGAACCTACAGACCTGATGAGGAAGTTGAAAGGAGAATTCAGCGATGGGAAAACTATCTGTTAAACCAAATCTAACCTATAGTCTCTTGAGTCCAGAGAGCCAAACCTGACACGTCTGCAAGAGCTTGAGACCAAGTCAATACTGGGATCCCCTAGCAACAGGGGGCGTGTCAAGTTTGGCTAACTTGGTCTCAAGAGCAGGCAGACAGAAAAAACCCATCGGTGGATTCTCTATCTCCTGTGCTGGAGAAATGAAATGTTTTGTTCTTCTTCCCCAAGGAAAAAACAGTCCAGTTGCCTTTTAAAAAAGTACCTTTGAGACAACTGGATGACTGAGAATCTCCACAGACATTTCACATGAATTTGATTCTATCCTCTGTTAATGCAACTTAAGACTGGGTTGGCTTTTTTGGCAGCTGCAGCACACTGCTGGCTCATATTTAAGTTATTGTCCATTAGGACTTCAAGATCCCTCTGGTAGTTATTACTGTTGAGCTGGGTACCACCTATTCTACATTTGTGCATTTGGTTTTTCTTGCCTAAATGTAAAATGTTACTTTTCTCTACGTTGAATTTCATTTTGTTAGGTAGGGCCCAGTGTTCAAGTCTGTCAAGATCCTTCTATACCTTGAGCCTATCTTCTGGAATATTGGCTATTCCTGCTAGCTTGGTGTCATCAAATATGTGGAACAAAATGAAATTCTATGTAGAGCAGTGGTCTCCAAACTTTCTGACTTGGAGAACCGGCAGGGAGGGGGGGAGAGGGGATGGTTCCATGCACATGGCAGGCATTTGTACAAGTATCAGGTGCACACGTCCCCCGCTCATACAAATGGAGCTTCATGCACTCGTGCATGTGTACGTCACTCACACAAGTGAAGCTGTGTGCATGTGCTTTCTTGCCTGCTGTTTGCACAGCCCAATTCCAAATGGGCCGCGGCCAATGGTGAGATTCAGCCAGTTCGCACCACTTTGGCAGATCCGGTAGCTAATTTTTTGTTGCCCAGGCCCAGAATGGACTTCTAGAAGTGGCATCCACACAAAGAACCGGTTGTTCACATATTTGAATCCCACCACTGGTTACAGCCCAGTACCAGGTTGTAACCCAGAGGTTGGGATGTAGAGAAAAGTAAGGTCTTACATTTAGGCAAGAAAAGTCAAATGCACAAGTGTAGAATAGGTGGTACCTGGCTCAACAGTAGTTAACTTCTTATTAATGATCTTATATCAAAACATAGAATTTGTTTATTGGATTTGTGTCCTACCAGTTTTACTGAACTGATGGCAGTTTATAACAATTAAACCATTAAACCAATGTCCAGTGACAGTAAGAAACATAAAATATTTCCACATCTTTCTCTCTCTTGAATGCACATCTAAGAAGTCAACCAAGATTGTGGCATATTAGTCAATAATCAAACTATTTACTTTATAGCTCTTAATAATAATGTTTCTTATATTTTTTTCTCCCACAAATAGTACCTGCATAACACATGTCTTCCATGAGTCAAGGACTGGATCCCTTTGTTCTTAATGGCTAGCAGACTGTTCTGTTAGCAGAAGGATGTTTTCCCACATCCTCGGAGATGCCCAAAAAGATAACCATTTCTGTTTGACTTAATACCAGTCCTTCACAAATAGAATGCATCTGTATTTTTTCCCCTAGAATTCATTGGATCAAAGGGCTATTCATTTTATACAAGTCATATTGCAATCATCATAGCAAATCTAGAAAGCTGTATCTTCAGTAAACACTTCGACCATTAATCACAAATATTTATTATACCACTTCATATATTTCCTGTAAAAAAAAACCAGGGAAATTGGACCTTTAGCATGGGAACCATATACAATTTCATAATTCCTATCAATTAGGTTCTAAAGCATTTTTGTTCAGCCACCCATAAGCAACTCTCTATGAGACGTGGATAGAGCATGATATATAGTAAGGCATTTTACCATATAAAACTTATAGCACCAAAAAACACACTGACTTCATGGTTGGTATTCATTGCACTTAATTGATTTCTATCTGACTTAACTAGAGAGAATGTTAAAAATGAAAGTAATGGTGTTTTTCTGCTTTCAGGGCCATTTATTATGTAAACAAAACTCTAGCAAGTTCTGTTTTAAAAAAAAGAAGACACAATGCAGCCTACCAAGGCTAATAAACCCAAAATTAACTATGGTTAGGTGAGACAGTGGAGGAAAGTTCCATTTTATTTAATTCAGTAAGGTGTTTTTTTAATCTCTTTACCATAGTACTGAGGAGTACAATCATGCTCATACGACATTATCCAGATATCATAAGAAGTTATCCAGATAAGAGATAAAAGTTCTGAAAAAGTTAGAACTAACAGTGAACTACAATCCAATTTATGAGCCAAAAATACATGTTGGATTGTTTTTGTATTGAGTGCAGTATAATTAAATATAATCTTTTTAGAAACATGTATTATCAACAGAGACAAGAGAAAGTAACAAAGTAGAGATACTACTTTTTGCAGTAATCTGTTTTTAAAATAAAATAAAATATAACTGTATTTATCATAATTCATAAATATAAGCATACGTATGTAACAAGTTTAAGGAAAGAAATACAAAACCAAGTTTATATAAAAATTGAAATTAAAGTTTAAAATTTTTACCAATGTCTTCTTTATATTAGGATGTAAGTTCGAGTTTTCCAACCTCCAAACAATTTTAGATAATTAATCTTTAGAAAATAAAATGTATATTTGGATAAGCTATTACTTATTCTAAATTTTACTATCTAGCATGGTTCCATACATTTGTTCTCTTTCTTGCTCTCACAGTTTTTCCAATCACATGTGCTCAGAAAGTAATCTCCAGTTCTCTGCAGAAACATACAGTTGTGCATCCTAAACTGTACGGTCATAAGTATTTACTATTATTTTATTAAATTTATTACAACTGCTCACTCCAAAGACTGAATAGCTTACATCATCGGATGTACAATTAAAACAGTTAAAATCGTGAAACAAAGCATGGCAGCCCAGACCAAAAAAGTGGCCATATCATCAAACAAACATGACAGAGGACCCACAAACGTATTAGTGCAACGTAGCTAGGTCTTAGCTAGCTCCAGGGAACGGGTGCCATACCTGTCTTTGAAGGATGCTGTTTTGGAAGGGAGGTCAGTGACAAAAGGCATGCTTTTATCAGTGACAAGATGACATTTAATTGAATGGACCTGGAGCGGATCCATTCTGCCTAAATGTACCAAGTAGGCAAAAACAAGTAGAGACAGATGATTCGTCAGATAACCCTGCCCTAGGCCATGAAAGCTTTACAGATAATGTCCAACATCTTGAATTGCACCCAGAGGCCAACTAGCGGCCAATGTAACTTACATAGCAGCAATGACACATGAGCATAATGAGTGCCCATTACTGCTCATGCTGCTGCATTCTGAACCAGCCGTAGCTGGTTCAGAATGTTGAGCACATTGCAGTAGTCCAGTTGTGGGGGTGACCAGGGTGTGAGTGACCATGTGAAAGACCTCTCAGCTAAGGAAGAAGCACAAGTGGTACACAAGATGAATCTCTGCAAAAGTCCTGGCCGTTGCTACTACTTGCTCATCAAAAAGCAGTTGCGAATCCAGGAGGATCTCCAAGTTGGGCATTAGTCTCAAAGGCGGAAATGAAATCCCATCCAAGAAAATGGTAAAAATGTTGAAGCAAAAAGTCACAGCTACTCAATCTTTTCAGAATTGAGCTGCACTCTGTTCCCTCAAAGCTGTACTTAGAAATGGAAGTGAATGAACAATGTAGTCTTTCTTCACCTATTTTAATCAAATTTACCCAGCAATCAAGATCAAATGAACTATTTTCAACAAATGGACTGGGCTTAGTCAATTCATTATATCCATCTAAATCCTTCAAGTTGTTGCTTTCAATTATTTTTATAGCTTCACAGTGAGTGAAGACAACTGGAACACTATATACAGTATGAGTGAACAATGAGGATCAATTTCAGACATTAATCCCAGGGATTTATCATAAGGTCCACCACACAGCCACTTCAATTTTGAGTAAACAACTGTAGGGGCTGATATATTTTTTTACAGTGCTTAGAAAGTCTTTCATTCTCATGTGTATGCATTTATTTGTATGTGCATACCCAGCTGTCTTTTCCACTGGTTTTATAAAACTAGACAGATGACATTTTATGCAGATAATACATATACTCACAACTTGAAAATCAGGCACTCATTCTAATGCTCCACAGGTGAAAAGCTGTAAAAAAAGAGTTTGTATCAGAGCCCATGAAAAACATTACCTAAATCTAACCATTTATATTTACAAAGTTATATCACTTACTGGTACTTACCATTACTCTGTGATGGTTTCAGTATTGAAAAATCAATAGAAAAATAACAGACACTCATGAATCCTGCCCCAATTATGATCTGTGCATTATACAATCAGGGTCTTGAACCAGAATTGGACAAATTAATCCTTTTTCTTATTCTGTATGGTTGCCTGCTCCAAGCTAATGTCTGCCAGAAGTAGTAGACCACAATTCTTATGAATGCTAGTTAGAGTGTGCCTAGAAAAGCTGCCACAATCATTATGAGCTGGGTGACAGGAGTTAGGACAATACAACATTTACAATATATACTGAAAAAGCATTGGAAGAACATACTAACATCTATATAAAGATTGGGCTTCTACCAGTTGTGTGCAAATTATTTATTAAATAATTTTGAGCTCAGAACGTGCCATTTCAAGCTTGGAATACTTCTAGCTATTCAGAGTTCAAAGCATTTTGAATTTAATTTACACACACCTCTTTTCTTTCTATTTATAGTGAACTGTGGTTCCTGAGAATATGGAACAACTCTATTTGAAGATTTCACAATTTATTTCCAACAGCAAACTGTATACAAGTCTATAGCAATTTCCTGCTACCTCGTCTCATAAATATGAACTAAAGCTTTTGCAAAACTATTTGTAAAAACAATTTATTGGCATCCTAAAAATATATTTTTCTTCTGCTATTCTCAGGATCTTTTGCAAGAATGATATGCAAGCTATCACTGATAGGAACCTAGTGCTATCTCATATCATTTAGCTATGAATATATATGGTTAAAAGGGCTTATTTTGAGAGAGGGTCTTGTATTTTTCTGTCCATTTTCTCTATTCAGTATTTAATATGTGGTAATATACTTATTGGTTCCTTTCCACAACCTTAAAGATCAACACAACAGGTACTACTTCTTAGAAACTCTTACCTATTAGCAGGTATATTTACAAATGAAAATAGCTGGCGTATTTCACCTACAATCCATCTTAAGGATTGTAAAGCTGGATGTTTTACCAAGAGATCAGGAAAATGAATTTTCAAATTTTAAAAAAATCCTCACATCTCATTCTTGGGTAAGATTCGGATCTGATTCATTCTCTCATGATTATAAGTTAGAGAGCTACTTTGGTGTAGTGCAGGGGTAGGCAACCTTGGCTTTTTTGTGACTCGTGGACTTCAATTCCCAGAATTACTGAGCCAGCATAGTTGGCTCAGGAATTCTGGGAGTTGAAGTCCACAAGTCGTAAAAGAACCAAGGTTGCCTATCCCTGATGTAGTGGTTAAGACATCAGGCTAAAAACTGGAGAGCCTGAGTTCTAGTACTACAGAAAGCCAACTGGGTAACCTTGGGCCTGTCACTCTGACTCCTAAGATGGAGGCAATGGTAAACTACTTCTGAAGCATTGTCAAGAAAAGTGCAGGGATTTGTCCAGGTAATTGGCAGGAGTCAATACTGACTCAAAGGCAAATGCACAACAAGGTTAGAAAGGGTAGCAGGGTAATAATTTTTTTTCCTTAATGAAATACATTAGTATTTATAGTTGTACTTCCTCATACAAATGAATAGAAAGGCAATAGAGTTGATCAGAAATCACCAGCATTTCAACGGAACCACTGGAAAAAGGAGCACCATAAACTGTATGGCTATATATTATTTGCCTCGACTATATTAAGAGTGTATTTAGAGGGAGAATGAACTATATTATTAGCCTCTTTATTCTTGTAACAACTCTCTTAATATTCAACTCTTTTCTAATTTCCCTTTCAAACTCTTTGTTTCCTAACTGCCCTTTTCTTTCTGAAGACTGCGGGAAACATCTAGAAACATCCATCATCGAACTATGGTATTAAACCCTCACGGGGATCCAGAAAAATTAATATGCTTGCTTTCATGCTTGCTTCTACAACAAATTATTCCACAGAGCAACCAAAGAATTCAGCACCAAAGCTGAAATCCTGGCTGGAATGGTTTTGAAACAGAATCTGTGCTAAAATACATATTTTTCAAAAGAACATTACTGTATAACAAATTCCCTCTTCCCAAACCCAAATATATTAATAGTTTATTATTCCTTTTGGTTACATACGCAGTAGAAATACTTTCACTTCTTCTATTTAAAGCTTCTCTGTAGTGAGTTTTGGCCTGCTCAGCACAAAAAATGAAGTCAAATACTTAAACATTCCAGTTGTCATGCCAATAACTATGGAGAGCATGCCTCAGTTTAAAGACCTCATTTTCCTGGCTGCAATGAAGGAAAAATTTGGCTTGGAACTGGATTAGCAGACCTTGTTTCAGACCATGCATATAACTCTTAGAATTCTTTCACAAGTTGAACAATTTGCATATTGGACAGTACCTGTTATACTGAGCCAGTAGCCATATTGGAGAGTACCTGTTACACTGAGCCAGTTGGTTAATGACAAATACCCCTGCAAATAGTCCGACAAATAACTGATAATTATTATTAAACAAATAGGGGGATTGGCTTCATTTCATTGGAAGAAACCTGGCAGATGAAAAGATCACTTACTTAAGGCTTCATTCTGTGCCTTGTTATGGTATTATTAATTATATAGTAATAATAATAATGATGATGATGATGATGATGATGATGTTGGAAGGGACCTTGGAAGTCAGCCTATCTCCTTGTCTGTAACTCACTCAGTCCAAAGCCAACAGGTGTACATGGACATCATTGCTAAGTCAGATGAATAGCTTAGTAGAGAATTTGGGATGAATCGGAGTATGTGAGGCACGTAGAGATAAATTCTATTTCCCTAAAGTTGTACATTTCAAAAACTAACCTAAATATTTATGGATTATCATATAGAATGCAACGACAATCACAAATGGATGCAATACAGAGCAAAACGAATTATCTATTCTTTCCCCCAAAGATCTACTTACAGTGTTTCAAGAAATCTATTCACATGAACTGCATCACTGCAGTTGCCTATAAAGATTCCACACTTCTTCTAGACATCTTAAGGAGTTTCTAGAAAATAGAAATGTTTTCCCCAAATCTAGAAGAGAAGACCAACTGAGTGCTTCCTTGGAAAGTTTCCCCCTTGGCAGAATTCTGTATGCTGTGGAAACATTCAGATTCCCTATCCTGATCCAACCACTCCCTTAACTGACTGTTCAAAAACTGCAGTTCGTCCAAGAGCATGATCTAAATGATCCAGCAACTGGTTCCAATGATAATTTGTCATGTTAGTCCTTGCAACTTGAAAGGGGGAATAGGAATTGGGCTATAATCAGCAGAATAAAAAAGTGACACCCTTATTTATAAAGGCAGATTTACAATCTTTAGTTGCTGCAACAGTGTTTAAATTCCAAGAGAAAATATGAGAAAACTCCTACCACGAACTTTTTCAGATTGGAAAATGTGGGCAGCCAGACTTGTATTGCTGAAAACACCAGCAGCAGCAAAAGCAGCACTTGCACTTTATTTTTGAAAAATAAAGCCCAAAAATATCATCTAGAAAAAACCTGAAATTCTCATGCACACTGGCAATAAGTTAGCAGAACAGGGAGATTATACGCTAATACTCTTTTTGCTATATTTATTCATTCTGTAATGCTAATGGTTTTACTGCTGCTCTTCCTTCATTTTCCAAACAAAATAGCTTGGCTGGCACCACACTTCAATGCCATCTCTGCTTAGTACCAAATGTGACTGAAAACAGGGAAATGATTTAATGTCTGCTTGCCAGGAGTGGAGGCGGATCCTCCTTTTTTGGCTAAGATGATGGTCTCAACAATATTCTCTCTTAGCAATATGGCAACCAAACTTAAATCTCTTAGCAAATAGCAAACTCCAAATTATGCAAGAAAATAATACTGCAAATTCATACCTAGAATATAAGTGTGAGCAAAGTTCTCACGCCAACTACACCAAGAGAGAGATAATGGCTAATCCAAAATCACCCTGTGGACATTGACCATGAAACACCATGATTTGTGGATTTAATTCACAAAATTAAAGAGAATAAATATGCTAATCAGATTTGATCTGAAGCACACGGTCAAAAAATAAGATCAATGTAAGGAACAGGTTTAATATATAATATATGAAGCTTTAAAAAAGAGAGAACATTGAAGATTTATTGAAGTGAAAAAAAGGGGAGGTTGATGACAGTCTTGAAAACTGGATATATGTATTCCAACAACTTATTTCTAATAAGTTAAAACAGAAATTGTTTGATTCTCTTGTAGACTGAGGAGGTTGGTGTTCATTTCCTTGATATAGTAGAAATATAAAATTTGATTTATAATATTTTGCAAACCATAATCCTCTTTCCCAGGTTCTCAAAAGTCTATTGCATTTCTCATACAAAGATGATTTTAGTGCTACACGGAAAGCCCTGATGACAGCAGAGGTAAATATCTATGGCTCATCTGGAGATATTCATATTATAAGGAAGACTTGGAATGTAAAAAGAATAAAGAAAGGATTTTAGCAAATAAATGAATAAAAAAAGAATATTGTGTAACTTTGACATTAAAAAGAAGAGACAATAACAGATTTGAAAGAAAGTGGGCTGATCTTTTGGAGTAAGCTAATGAAATCATGCAATAAATACAGTAAAGCATGGACCCAGGAAAAATTAAAAAGGCATTTTATTCTCAAAGCAAAGGGGGGGGGGAAAATCCTCATTAAGAAAAACTATTTCTACTTCTTTAAAATCATCTATTTCCCTTATTTCAACTAAAAATAGCTCACTCTTACCTTTGTATAATGAAATTGTTCAACTTTTTAAAAAACAGAGCAACATAAATACAATAAAGACTTCCTCAGATGGTGCTTAAATCCTGGCAAATACAGGAACACATCTATGTACAGGTTTTTGGCAACAACAACAGAAATGGCTTTACATTCTGGCTTAGGGATTTTTTTTTCTACTTCTCAATCTAGTCTGGCCCA